ATTATTCACAACATCATTCAAATAATTAATATTGCGTTCACAGCTCTCTCTATAATGGCTAAAACCTGGTACATAATAAATTACAAATTGAGGGACGAGAGCAAAAAACCCAAGTGAATGAAAATGTTTATGTATGCCGTTAATAAACTTTAAAGATTTTTTGATTTCTTCAGATTGACCTAATTTCTACACAGTAAGAATGTTGTTATGTGATTTGAAGGGTATGAAGATCAGTTGTGAAATATTTTATCCATTCCCTAAAATCAAATTCAATTCCATCTTTTATTTTCGCTTTCCATCTTTCTTCAGATGCTTTGAAATGGGTTTGAATACAAAGGACGAAACCTCGTAAGAATTTCGTTGACATTAATGTACGGGCTATTAATCTTCTCCTTCGATTCCATGCATCATAATTATTATCAAAAAATAATCCATTGTTAAGTCCTATTCTTTCAAATGTCGGAAAGGGAAGTCGTTTAAAGAGGCTTTTATTTGGTTTACAAAGTTTCTCAGCATGTTTTACATGATTAATAACTATGTTTCGTTGGGAACCAATATAAAATTCCCAAATTGTACCGGCCTTTTCCTTATTTTTGTTATACCATGTTAGAGGATTCATTCTTACTATATGAATCGTCCCGAGTATAGGAATTGGCATGGGACCTGGTAACGGATTAGGACGTGTAAAATATTTATAGTAGAAGTTTGATATATAAATTATCAATAATACTAGTATAAGGGAAGGCTAGTCTGTCAAACAAGTGCTTAAAACTGATAGAAGCGACATTTGTATGAATATTTTCTCTTTAATTAAAGTTTTTTTTTCAACTCTTATGAACTTCTTTTTTGTCAAAAAAAAAAGAAGCTGATTACTGGTATATTTATACGTACGTACGTATGTTGCTATGAGGTGTTGAATAGTGACATAAAATGGAATACTTGATATAAATGATACGTTTACCAAGAACGTTTGAGTTCGTTTCGTCCACAAAATTTTGATTCTGATTGGATGTAGAAATCGAATGATTTCATGACCTAACGATTTTCATTTTTATTCTCTGATTAAGTTCTTTGAGCGATAAAATCATATCTAAATGCAGTTACAATTATTTTCAAGTTTGAATCTTGGTATGTTTGATTGATGAGTTATAGTACCATAATCGTCAAGAAAACTTTAGCATGTAAAGTAAAGTTCCAATCCGGTTAGCGTTTATTCGGATAATTAAGTCCGGTGCAGTCCGACTCGACTCCATGAGTAGAAGTTTTAATCTGGTCTCAGTCCCAAGTCAGACTTGGGACCGAGTCCTAGTAGCAATATAGTAGTCACAGCAATATTAGATGTCATAGGATAAAGATTTTATTTTTATCTATTTGTAGACTAGTGTATGAAACACGGGTACATATAATGACCAAAATTTTAAACTACCTCTAACAAATTTTTAAAATTTATATTTTAAAAAATTGAATAAATTATTTACTTTTTTTAATATAATATAAAGTTATTAATTATAAAATTATAGTTATATACATATAAGCAAAGTTAAAATTAAAGGTTAAACCAAGATCAAAATTGCATAAAAAACATTTTTTTATTACTACAGCCATCCGCCTCTATAATCACGTAATTTGTTTTACATAAAAATGATGTGATTATAAAATTTTAATAGTAATGTGATTATATAAAGTTCTTCAATAAATAAAGTATTAATAAATTTTCAAAAATGGCGCTTATAAAGAGGGTGTGACTATAGGAAGCGACTGTAAAGGAGGACAACTGTATATCTGAAGCAAGTTTTATTAGTAAAATTTTGTATTATAACAATATTAATTCGTGATCCACCAGTGAACCAGTGAAATAACATAGTAAATGTTGGGGATAAGTTTACTATGTAAATTTTGCCTTTTTTGGAATCTGG